CTCCCATTCCTGGGAGGGGTTTGTGCCTGCCTCTTCGTGAGCGCAGTGGAAGACGACGATCCTTTCGGATGGTCTTGGACTGAATTGTCTTCCCTCCCTGGCTTTTTACTTTTTGTCATGTATCACGCTACCTATGTAAATACTGTAAATAAACGTTTCAGTTTCCAGCTCCGGCTCCTCGGTTCGTCTTCGCCCTGACCCTTGGATGACTGTGTCCCGACGAAGTTCCCCAGTCACAACAGCATGTAAATACTGCAAATTATGATCAGTTTGTTGAAGATAACAGTTCGGATGGCTACAGCTTAAATGTATATCTGGAGCGGTAAATGGGTACGGGCCGTTCCTTGATCAACTATAATGGAAACACCACCGGATGATGCGACAGCATCATTCCGGTCCTTTCAAAAATAGTTTAACTGCGAAAAAAGTTGGCGTATTTGGACTTGGAGTGTTTCTTGTACAAGCAGCACTTTTGGGGAGTGTTCGTGTAAATGTTCTTGGACATCGTCGAAGTTTCTCAGCAGTCCTCTGACTTGGAAGTGTGGCGGTTTTGGCTAGTTGGCGTGACATGACGATATTTTTATAGCAGCAAGAACAGAACAACGACCAAGGCCTTTGCCGGCGTTCCGTTCTCGCGCTATAACTATCGTCAAGTCCTCTGACGTTCCACTGTATTATTTGTTTCAATTTTATTGTGTTTTTTGCTGTGGGTACGAAAAGTGTTGCTTGATGTTACAGGGCCTTTTGGAGGCCCTGTACATCGGGTTTTTCTTTTTTAGCATGCTCCAGAGATCTGCGCCTATATTTCGGCCCCTGAGGCGCCGGAGTGGTGGCGGATTGTATCCATCACCTCTCCTGAGGTGGCGTATAGTGACTGCTCTGAAGGTACGTTCGCAGAGCTTTCGGACCTAACTGAGCTTGCAGTGGCGCGGGGTCCGGCAGACACGGGAGTCAGCCGGCCCTGTTTGTCAGGTGGCGGAGCAGCACAGGCTACGTTAGCCGAGGACGCTACAGGCAAGACTGCGGTCACACTTTGTGTGACACTCGTGGGTGTGGAAACTTGTGGTGTGGCGCCGCGGTGCGTCACATCGGTGAAGGAAGGATAAGACGGGTTGTGTAGTAAAAAAGTTTACGTGCCTCTTCGAAAGACAAGTAGAATTTGATTTTCAGTTCTATTATTCTCTTTTATTTTTTCGACAAGGGACATGATCGTGATTGGGCGGGGTGGTCCCCTTAACAGTTTGCGCAATGGGCTGCAGAGGGGCAGTTGTCAGACAAGTCTTCTTTGGACAAACGTTTGGCAAATGTGGCGGGCCCTCTGCAGCTTTACATGTACAAAGCGCTGACACTTAAAACATCGATGGGTATCGGGAATATATAGTCGGGCACGAATATTACAATAGGTGATTTCGATGTATTCTGGTAGGTTGCTGATCCCGAAAGTAATGGTGATGTGTTTAGAGCTGGGATCTGTTTATCGTCTCGTCGTATCATTATTCTTTGAACCTTTGCTACATCCTGATCTCGCCACCCTTGCAGCAGTTCGCTTTCAGATAGCGCGAGGAGGTCATCGTAAGATATGACACCGCGCACTGTGTTTGACCTATGTGGTCCCACTGATACTGGGATATTGCCAAAAGCTACAAGGTTGGAAAGCTTGTCATACTGGCTCTTGTCACGAACTTCGAGCAGATCACCGCTTTCCATCTTTGTTACCCCATAACCTGGACCAATAGCTTCTGTGAGAGACTTAGATACGAGGAATGGTGAAATTGTACGGACAGTTTTTGTTCCATGTTGGCTGTGGATGACGTGGTACTTGGGGAAAGGCTCTTTGGCTTAGATAAAATGCCAGGCCTGCGTGGAAGGCGCAGCACAGCCACAGCGAAAGCTAGAAGAGCGGCATTTTAGAAAGAGAGAGAGAGAGAGATAAATAGAGAGGAAAGACAGGAAGGTTAACCAAGCTTGGCTCGGTTGGCTACCCTACATTTGGGGTGGGGGAAAAGGAGAATAATAGAACGGAAAGAGACAGAAAAGAAGGGGAATAAGAAAGAGAAGCATAAATAGGCAGCTCGAGACTACACAGCACGGCCTCACACAGTTCTTTCACAAGCGGTCGTGAAGTTTGGTGGTCCTTAAAAAGTTCAAGAGGGCTTTCGTGGCTTTGCGCGTATGGGAAGCCGTCGGCCAAGGTCCCAGGATCTTCTCTTCTGTAATCGGCCGTGAATCCAGCTGACAGAGCTTGGCTTTCATAATACGTCGTTCGTTCTGGTATGCTGGACAATGACATAGAATGTGCTCAAGCGTTTCCTCGCAGGCGCAGATGTTGCATGCCGAAGTGCTCGCCATTCCGAGGAGACGAGAGAACGAATTCGTAAATGCCACGCCCAACCTCATGCGACACAGTAAAGTTTCAGCGCATCGTGGGCATTTTAGAGCCTTTCAAAACACTTATTGGGTAACTATTGCAAGCAAAGCTCCCTTGCTTGGTACGCACTACAGCATTATAATAAAATTTTGGGGCACTAGGCTGGCATTCGCTTCCCTATTTTTCGTCATCCTTCTGAGAAGCGCGGCATCCGCTAAACACTTGCAAGGAATTTTGGGTCAATTGTTCATGAAGTGGCTTACGACGATGAGGAATTATGGCTGAAGTGGGTATGCGCCATAGTTAATAGGGGAACAAAAACAAGCTTTTGCAATGAGTTGGAGCATTGAACTACCCACTCGTTACGCGCATGGGGCGAGGACTTGTTCATTCGCTGTTTTAAACTTTTTGTAAGTCCTATTAACGCGATTGCTTTCCCGACATCAAGCCTGTCTAAGGCAAGTTTGCCAACAAGTTCCAAGCACCGGTGTGGCTTGAGACTCGAGTTAGAGCCTCATTGTGTCATTGGTGCTGGATTTTTTTTAAATTCGCGCGATGTGGTTACAGACACCTGTGGTGGCAGTGGCGGCGGTGGTGCTGGTGGTGGACAACTGCGCGTGACTCGAGTTGTGATCTCATAACAGCTTTCGCTGTTGAAGTGAGCAGTTCATCGGTGCGCCAGCTTTTAGAGCGGTCATCAGGTAGGGTGGGAAGAGAGTTAGCCATAAAAAGTTCTTAAATTTGGCGGCAATGAAGGCCACCCACCACCAAGCCCAACAAGGGGTCGCTACAAGGTATAACACTTGAAATCGTCAGCCATACATCGCTGATATAGCCAAATAAAAGTGCCCTACGTTGAGCAACTGCACAGGGTTAAACCTACCGCTGGAAACACTAGAAGCAAATCAAACGAGTACAACACAGGAAAGAGTAAAGAAGAGAAAAGGACGCAGATATAGGGAGAGAAAGAAATAGAAAAAAGCGACTGCCGACTTCCCCTGGGTGAGTCAGCCCAGGCGTGCCGTCTACGTGAAGCCAGGGCCAAAGGGGGGTGTTACCTTGGTCGGGGGGCCTTAAACGTCCAATCGCCGGCGTTGGCTTAACCCATAGGATCCCCTTTTCCCCGGTCACGGCGAAGTCACGCATGGCTAGATGAGGGTGGGGGCGACATCTCCATGCTCCATCTTTTGTGATCACCGCTTGTAAACGGTCTGCGTTGCGATGACAGTAGTGCAGGTGGTCTTCAAAGCTCATCAGTGAAATTTTAGATGTGAAGCAGCTTTGACTAGCATGTGTCACGCTGTCCCTCCGTCCGCTACGCTCCCTTCGCTGCAGGTATTGGAGCGGTGCCAAGTAACTCACGCCCTCCTAGCAGTGCGTGTTGACGTCTCTCTCCCATGCCTGCCGCGCGCTCGTTGCGTGTCAGCTCTCTCTCGCTTCATCCTCTCCACCGTTCGCAACGCTCGAGCCCACTCCTCACGCGGGCATCATTTCACCCGTGCCCCCTCTGTTCATCTCTCGGCGAGAAGAAGCCGCGAGCCGGCGGGTGCGCGTGCTGCGCACGCCTCGAGAATCTCGTGGCGGCAACAATGTAAACAGTGCGCCACTGCTTGCCGTGGGATCGCGCCGACGAATGGGACGCCGTCGCGGTATGCTTCCCGCTAGTGGGCGCGTACATTTCCCTGCTGTCGCCGGCGTTGCGAGGGTTAGCGAAGCCGATCGCGTTCACCGATGGCGACGTCAGCACCGATGAGGCGCGAGCCAGAAACGCTCAACGCAAGCGTCAGCAGTGAAAGACCAGCGACACGGACGAGGTGCTAGTCAAGAAGACTGATCACGTTCGGGAATACAGACGGCGCATGGATAATAGCTACGAGACACGAGCCAAGGAAGCCGAGTGCTAGCGTCAACGCGTCCCGCCTCCCGTGTCCTTGCGTTTCAAACAAACGTTTACTCGAGTAAACACTACACCGAGTTTCGCTTCCATCCGTTCTTCCAGCACCCGCGTCGACGCCCGTTTCAACCGGGTCAACACCGTGCGCACCACTGCTGTTTCGCATCCCATCAGGGTACCCTTCGAGGAAATGATCCAGTTTTCTTTTATCGACTTCTTGGTCGGAGATCGTACGCGCTGCGCTATTAATTTCCAAACATGTATTTATATTTCAATGATACGGATGAAAGTTTAACCGAAATATAAATAACTGAAACAGAAATAACCGAAAGTAAGGGGAGACAGAAAGGTAGAAAATGAAGTGATGCTAGAGAGGTCACCAACGAGGGTGACGGAAAATGTTTTGGCAGCAGCCCATTATAATATCTTTAGAGCAAGAAGTTGGTACTTTTTCACTCAAATCGCTGCATCTGACTTCCCCTGCACCACGAAAACATTTCAGCTTTTTGAAAGCAGGTGACTTGCACGTCATCGGAAAATTGTGTCGCTGATGCTACCGACAGGTTGCGCTGGAACTAGCTCGGGTCGCGCTCACAGAGATAAAATTTGAATCTTGAAAGTGCTTGGATGCTCAATACACCGGCTGACACGATGATGAGCATTGTAGTAAAAGTTGTACGAGTTGCTTTCAATTGTGGCGTGCTGTGAAAAAAAAAATATCTACGAGAAATCACAAAATAGGGCTTTAGAATCTCTTTTATGAACAGATAAACTAGTATAATATTTACAGTTTTATTTTTGGGGTCTTGTGCTTCTAGGAACGAGTATTGAACTTTTGGATGGTTACGTCTGTTCGGGTCATTCATAACGAGAACTGGTCTGGAACAACGTGCATTTTTTTATTACGCGGAAAAGAAATTCTCCGCAGCCGTTTAAGTTACAACATGACTGGCTCATCGCGAACAGAAGTGCAAAGGAGCTCATACTCATGGGTAAACGAAGCTCACCTGCTAGTTAGTATGATACAGCAATTCGAATACTGCGACAACAAAGAGACGAAATCGCACCTTGCGGACAACAGACAAAAAGTATACATGACGGGCGACCAGAATATCCCGCATGCTATACAACTCAAAATCCACGCGGTGCTATAGCTTTGCGGCCACATGAACGCTGTCGACAGTGCGTACAGCGGGGAAAAGTGGAACGGCACTCATAGCGCTCCGTAACCAGACGAACTTGATCGCTCCAGTTTGAACCAGGCGACTATGCCTGCGGTGCCCACTACCAACAACGCGTAGTGAATCGCGATGCAAGCAATGAACACGGGCGCCCCGTAATAAGCGCGAAACGCGTCCATGTTCATCGACAAGCCGTACTCCTGCAAGAAAGGCAGGAAGATGCAGCCGAAGCTCTGCACAATAAGCATGATGATGAGCACTATGTAAGGCTTGGCGGCCAGCGGCTCCTGCCAGCTGCGCAACTTGAAGAACATGCCCACCGTGGCACGAGCCACGTTCGCAGTCACCGTGAACAGGAAGCTGCGTGGTTGGCTGGTCGGTGAGGCACGCTCACGGCGGAACTCGAAGTGCAGGCTCAGGGCGAAGAATATTCCGAAGACGTGCGTCGGCTCGAGCGCCTTGGCAATGAGTATAGCAAAGGCTAGCACCCGGGAGCCGATCAGTGGCAACCAGGCGACGTTCTCAGCGGTAGTCAGGAGCAGCGACTGTTGCGTGGGCCAGGTGAAGACGACCCTAACGTGCCGGTTGTTGTATTTGAGGCAGGCGAAGCAGGTCAGCAGCACGGCGCTGGCCAAGTTGGCAGCCTGCAGCCACGAGAACGCTGCAAAAGCGTTGAAAGTGAAAGGTTGGGTTCGGACACCATGGTCACGTCGCAACAAAGAAAGTCGTGCACACGACGCAGACACTGTGGAAGCAGTGATTTTTCGTAAACACCGAGTACAAAAACAATGCGCCGTTAATTGCGCATGCATATCTGATGAAGGCACGGGCAGAGAGTCAAATAGCGCTCGTTTCTCATGTCCCAGCCACTACCCAAACGTTTATTGCGATAGCAATTATGTGAACACTCAACGGGATTTAGCCGCCGGCGTCAGCGTCGCCGTCATTCACCGTATATGAATACGTATCTATATATATGAAAATGCAAGAAAGAAAAATAATCCTGAAAGAGACTTCGGTGCACGGAATCGAGCGTGGGACTTCTGATGTGCGAGTGTGAGGCGTAACCCACCGAGCTACGAAGGAGCACCTTCTTCAACGTTCAAACGGCAAGATATTAATATCTACCACTTACCGCGTCCGATTGGCATCTCGGGGGCGCTGTTGTGTTTTCAGCATTACCAGCGAGATGGCGCAATGAGCGCACGTCACCAGATCGTCACGACGCGGCTGCGCGCGCTCTCATTTCCCACGCGTACGTTGCCCTGCAGAGAAGAGGAGGGTGGACGCTCACACGTGCGTGCGCTTATCTCGCCTTGGGGAAAATCTTACCCCTTGGACTTTCACCAGAACGATTCCGTTACCGGGCGCACAAAGGTCACTGCACTCGCTGCACGGTCTCCGTTTGTGAAAAGGGCGCGCTTTTGAGACACATCAAAGTAAGGACTGAGACGCTTATCGCGTTCATCTGTAGCTGCGAGAATGTTTCGTGCGTCCTTTGTGCGTGAGAAACACGGGGCATGTTTTGATCTACTTGCCATTCTTCGCGGGACCTTTGAATTTACTGCAATGGTGAAGCAATGAACGCGATAGCAATAAAGCAGTGACTTTTTTCTTAGATGCTGCTTACACCTTCCCCCTGATTATAACAACCTTTGTTCTTGCCGTCTTAAAATTGCGGTAACATAATTTGTTTTCCACACACACCAACTAACATACCGAAACTATAAAAAAATGCAACGCAATACTGTGATGTTAATTTATTTGTTACAAGTACCAAGCCCTATTTCTCCCTTACAAGCATCCCGCCTGACAAGGGCTTACGAACAACGGCGACGCGAGCGAAGAAAGTGCAGTTACTCTCTATGCTCTACAGTAACTCTACGAAAAACTAGAGTTACTGTGTATGGTGCCTGGGACGTATATAATTCTACAAAAAAAAAAAAACGCGTGCGGCACTCTGGCGATACCGGTAACGCGCGAGCGTTAAGGCCTGACCCCACGTATTCGTCACAGCGCGTCGGCGCGTGTTTTTTTGACGTGGCGTCGAGCCCTCTCTCATATGAAGAGACAGAGCACGCAGCTTGGCGTAGCCACCCGTCAACTCTCTATAGAGAGAGGGCGCGGCACCGCTTCAAAAATCCTCGCGCGGACTCGCTGCAACGGATACGTGGGGTCAGGCCTTTAGGGCCAGTCTACGCGCCACCCGTACAGCTGCAACACACGTGCTGGACTGCCGGGATACCTGACGCCCCCCAAGCGGAGGGCAAATTTGCCAATCGATGACGCTCTTTCAACCGTCGCCTATAGCTTCGGCAGGAGTTCCAGCACGTGCGTTGCGGCTGGGCGGGTAGCGCGTGGGCAGTCCCTTATTGAGTGCTCTTGATTGATATGTGGGGTTTAGCGTCCCAAAACCACCATATGATTATGAGAGACGCTATTGAGTGCTCTTGAACGCAACCATCTGTCCTGTTTGCGCTGTCAAGTTTTCCGGCCATTCATGAGCCAACCAGGCCAAACGCGCGCGCTGCTGTTCTGTTGTATAACCTACATGGTGCACTCTTACGTTATTGTTTCTTTGCTTTGTTAGATTAAATTTGTATTGTATTAATGCTGCTAATAACCAAAAGTACTAAAACTTGATTTCTTGTTATTTTTGCTGGCTAAGCTCTCTGGCGCTTGTCTTGTCTCTTCAAATTTACTTTATTTATACAGCATGGATTGGTGGGGAAGTCATGCGCTACAGGTCGCTAAAAAGCTTTGCTGCGGGACAGATGCGTTGATCACCTTCACTGGGTGTTCACATATAATATGTGCACACTTTTGCACATGGTACAAGCCGGGGCCGCATTACAGTATACGATGATGGTTGCGGTTATGGTAAGTGGAGCGTGTGGTCTTTGCACGTTATCAGTGCCACGGTCGCTATAGATAAGGGAAGAAGGCGCGGCCTGTTGCGTGCCGCCGAAGCGGCGTCTAAGGCCTAGTTCACTTCGCGCCCGATCTGGAACCAGAACTATCTAGAAAAACGCTTTCACACGCATCGCTACGCGTGTGACAGTGACTCCAACCAGGCCGTAAATAACGCGTATTGCAGTTCCAGATCACAGGTTTGATTGTGGATCATTATTAGAAATACATATTACATACATATGTGAACAGTTTGCCTTAGGAGAGCCAATCTTTCGTAGAGGCCTCTTTACTCTTCATGAATGGTGTCTGTTTGACTCACTTGAAACGAAAAGGGTCACTGATCCCATTCATGGGGATGCAATCGCTGGGCAGATTCCAAGGGCTGACATATCCGCCCACCGAAACGCACCACAAAAGCGCGCAAAGTTTAAATGTATATAGGCCATTTTAACACGCCAGCAATGCTGGTTATGGTCTAAAGACCAAGTTAAAACCAGTAGTTTACAACACAAACAAAATGTATTCCCAGTGAAGGCAGAGCGTATTTAAAACAATAGGAACAAACCTTCTATGCTCAAAATGAAATATTACGCATTATAAACTGCGCAACAACACTTAGAGGCCACAATATTCACCAAACGTGTGTACTCCAAAATTTTTGGAACGTTTCTCAAACATTTCTCTTCAAGAAAACACTGAAATGTGTACTCTACGCGCTGAACGTCGTCCCGGCGGCACTCTTCAAAACAATACTCCTATGGCGGCATCAATCTATTCTTCAAGAAGAATGGCGATTTGGGCTAGTTCAAGAATTCTTCAAGATTGATTGACCGCACTTTACCACTCACTCAAACTGCTCGAACAACATAACTTCGTCGAGTTCCCCACCCCTTCCTACCCTCCGCCACCTCTCGTTTAGATCTTACCCAGTTTCGCGAACATTCTAAGTAATTGTACGGAGCATAGCACGTACCATAGCGACAGAAAGGGGAAAAGGTTATGCTTCTAACTTACGATGGACACAACCGATCACATGGCTCTCGTCCGCAAATTGGGCCATTATTCCTTCTTTCAGAAAATAAAACGATAAAGAGGTAAAACGTGACCACGAATGTTAATTTAGTTTCCCAGTAAGCTAAATATGAACTTCGGGAATTATGTAATTCTTGCCAAGTTATGAACCAGCGAATGAGCCATGGTGCTGTGGTAGAGAGACATACACGTGTACTTACAGCCGTTGGTGTAGGCCTGTTCATTCAAGGACGCCTGGAAAAGCTGCGTGGCCTGGAATACTGCCTGCGGGAAGCAGCTGAGCGTCGCCACCCACATGACGTTGGTGAAGGTGATGATGTCCTGGCGCTTGAGCAGAACAGCCCGGTCCTGCTGACCACGTGTCTTGTAGAGCATCGCAGAGTCCACAAACCGCAGCAGAAGCCTGATTGCCGCGTCACCAGGTGACAGGAAAAAAAAAACAGGTTTAATTCATGTTTGCAGGACACTATGAGCGTGCGCACGGGGGACGACCACCCCTCCTTAGTGACGCATGGGGGGAGAGACAACAATGTCGTCACGATGATTGAATATATGTACGGATTTTGAAGTTTGGCGCCAATAGAAAAGGAATGCAGCCAACATGAAGCGCCGAGGTGTGAGAGCGTGCCTAGATAGAAATGTAGGATATTGGGGTTTGACATCACAAAATCACGATGCAATTACGAGAAACGCTGTAGGGGCAGTTCCTGGAAATTTCAACCACCTGGGGTTATTTTACATGCTCCTATGCGCACGGGCCTATAGCATTCTCGCCTCCACGGAAAGTGCGGCTGAGATTTGATTCCGCGACTTGCGGATTAGCAGTCGAACAACATGACTACTAAACCACTGTGGTGGGGGTTGCCTCGTTAGAAAATAATTCGCAAGGACATCAGTAGTACACGGTAGGCTGACTGGGGAGTTTCAGTGCCACCATAATTACCATGTACTAGCGCTTGTACGCTGGACTTTAACCATTTCGCACTTGTCTCAACATTGTCGCAAGTGCCTACTATTCGTTATCACTTGAAGATGCTAAATTATACAAGAATTACATTAAATTTGTTGCGTGCTTGCGCAAACGTGTGTATATGTGTGTGCGTGCGTGCGCACACAGGCTGTAAATGCATTAGAAGCGTCCATGTCAGCGAAATTTTGTCTGTGCGTAATTTTGTTCACCGCCGTTATCCAGCATATATAAGGTGATGGTGGTGGTGAACAAAATTTATTGGTACCAGCGAATTGAGGCGTGGGCCTAGGCCGCGCAAGGAGTGGTGGAGAGAGTGTCTCCCAGCCACCTGCCGTGCTCACTGAATGGACCATTTTAGAGCTTGTCGATATGAGCCGATCAGTGGGGCTTTCCACCGCGTCCCAAACTGTTCTGGGGAGCCTGCATTGTCATCATGTATTTGTGTGTATTCCTCATAAAATATGCTATAAGATGTCGTGTCTCATAGCTTACACGAGTCATCTGGGCATACGTCGGGGTGAATGCGATTAGGTGCACCGAGTTGGTAAATGTTCTGGTCTGAAGTTCTTTTCCATCAACCTCCCGAGATAGGTATGATTCGGACCTAGTTGATGGAAATCTGCGCCTCGACTTCTGGTAGAACTGAATAATGCTGAAGAACCTAAGCCTTCTGTGCCCCTCCCAGGATGCATCTCCTTCCGTTACCTCGTGGGAAGTTCCGTCGCGAGCGCGGTGAAACTTCGTGTGACACGGTGAGCTTCCTCGGAGAGATTGGGAACGAGGGACTCGCGCAGGGTGTGGGCTGTGAACCATATAACGCCTCTCTTATCAAATTCCACGGATGATATGAACTTGGCTGTCCCGAGGAGCTAGCAGCCTCGAGGATTTCTTCCTCGCGCGTAATTCAGGGTGGCCGACTGCGAGTCGATGATGTCCCTACCTTTTGGCGAAATTATGGCCCTTGTGATAGCCACCTTTTTTTAGCAATATCCGAGTTATTAGAGCGTATTGAGCATGCCCTTACGCACTTGCAGTCGGAGTTTATTACTGCCGCAACGCAGGATTCGTTATTCGGGTGCTCCGCTGCGTGTACGAACAACACCTCTTTGTCTCTAACGCGTACAGCAGCAGCTGGTCCAGCGGGCTCGCAGGGTCGCGCAAGGTAATGGAGCCCTGGACTGAGGGCCCCACCCAAAGAAGGCTCAGTGTGCATTCGTTATTAATAAATGTTTATTCTCTCTCTCTCTCTCTTGTCTCTACCGCAGGCCTTGAGTAGAGTTCTATCTCTGCTTTCAGTTCTGGCTTGATTATGTTCGGGGTGCATATTTTTCGGCAGATTGGGGACCTGGACATTTTCTCTGGTCACATTTGGAACTGACACTTGGCATCCAATTGTTGATTGCAATAACTTATCCCTAACTGTGCGTGTGCTGGCTAGTTTCTCCAACTGGGCAATCTATTGAGTTTCTATCAGCTACTCTAAAGTGTTATGTAAATCCAGTTGAAGTAGTTGCTCGGCGCTGGTGCTATCTGGAAGGCCTAAAACTTGCTTGACGCTTTTCGTATGAGTGAGTGTATCTTGGCTTTTCCGGCTGTATAGCAATTGAGATATGCCACTTTACGTATATAATATGACTAGTGGCGAATGAAGAAATAAGCCTGACAACGTTACTTTCTTTTATTCCCTTGTATTTGTTACTCTCTTGATTAGCTGTATTGCGTTGGTGGCTTCGGTTACTAGCCTCTTGATGGTTTCGCCGTTTTTACCCTTAGATTCGGTGATAAGTCCAAGGGCTCTGATTTGTTGCACTATAGGAATAGTCCTGCCGTTTTTGGAGTGAATTGGAATTTCTTCGTAAGCAGGGTCCCGACTGTGTCCCTTGGGGGGTCAGCCTTTGAGCGTGGGGTCGGGCGAGCACTAGAGCCCAGTACCTTCAAGATACTCCTCGATAGCGGTGACGGCCTGCTGAAGCCCCTGCTCTATTTCTCCATCACTACCTTTACATTCTCAGATGGTTGATTGATATGTGAGGTTTAACATCCCGAAACCACCATATGATTATGAGAGACGCCGTAGTGGAGGGCGCCGAAAATGTCGAATACCCGGGGTTCTTTGACGTGCACCCGAATCTGAGCCCACGGGCCTACATCATGTTCGCCTCCATAGAAAATGACGCTCGTATGGTGATGTCATCTGCATATACGGTACGACGTATTCCGTATTTAGAGTTGAGCCATGCAAGGAGTCGTGTATTATTATGAGATTAAACAGAATTGGTGATGTGACTGAACCCTGCTGGGTACCAGCACTGCTTATGTGCCTTTCCCAGACTTGAGTTCTCCCAATACGAGGGATGCCGTTCTGGCAGTTAGGGAGTCCTTGGCATAATTATACACTCTTGATCATAGGCTTAATTGGCTGATGCGATGTAATATAGCGGCATGCGTCGAATGGTTTTGTAAGGTATAATCTTAATATCGCTAGAGTAAATCTTGTTTTATTGTCTAGAATCTACTGTTCAATTTGTAGCATGGCGTCCTGTGTGGAGAGTCATATGTGCGGAATTCGAACATGAAGTCGAGGTAAAGTTCGTTCTCTTCAAGATATTTGTTGATTATGGGTAGAAAAGCGCGTTCCATCACATATTCAGTACAGGACGTGGGTGATATGTGGCGTAAGTTTGATAGATGGGGAAGTTTTCCAGGCTCGGGGCTGAGAATTACTTTAGCTTCTTTCCATTGTTCTGGAATAGTGTCCTTGGCCTTGCGCTTGTTGTCGTGCAACATATGTAGATATTATATAGGGTGTTTCAGCTAAAAAGTATTAAGCAATAAAAAATTCCCCTTATCGTATTGCAATGCACGTGGCAGCTGCTTTTTCCTCAGTTTGTCTTCGTTTCTTTCTCTCGCCCCCCCCCCCTTCCTTTTTTAATGGTACCATCCAACCATCGCTTAATGTCCATCGTAGTCACCGATATCCTGTTCAAGCCACCTTCTTGCTTGAGAAGCCTTCACTAATTCGTTGAACTTACATTTGAGGGCACTCAAAGCGCCGTGCGTTAGGCGGCAATCACGTGGTATTTTTTTTTTAATTTCGCGCACTTAAAACAAACCCTGAAGAAAAATTAACCTACGTTGTTATCTTATCGTAACTTGAAATTTTTATCATTTTTGGATTAGATCTACAAGTCTTGTATTGAATATTTTTCTCTAGAGTCAGCATTTAGAAAATAATTGAGCACTCTTCATTAATTACCGTGCTCGGTGGATCAAAAAATGTTCTGACGTGCTACATACAGCTAAGAACAATATTGCACTAGCTGGAGACGCGTAGCACTCATTTTAATTTTTTATTGCTTGGTGCTTTTTAGCTGAAACACCCTGTAGAAATTAACAACTTTGTGCTAAAATGATAGAAGCAGCATGTAATTTTTAGTAGTGAGCGAATAAGTAATGGTACATGTTAACTAATTTACAGTCACATATATCGACCGAGACGACTATAATACTTGTGGCAACAACAATAGATAACGAGAAATCGGAGTAATTGAAATTATTGGAGAGCATCCTTATAGAATAAAACTAAAGCGCAGGTTGACAGGATGAAGACACAGAGTTCAATGCAGTGAATTCTAACTTGGTAATCGTTAGGTTAGAGCTCATTAGTTTAACTTGAATTGATTGCACAACTGAGAATGACCGAACTCAAGATTGCCAAGACCGGCTCAGTGACTCAAAATGACTAAGCGAAAATGGTAGTTTAAGCGGCAACTGACAATAGCAAGCGAAATTGAGGTTGAATAACAATGACTGGGCAACTCTGATAACGACTATGCAGAGTTGAAAAAGAATGAGTTGTTCGATGCAGGTAGATGTCGCTTTCAGATAACCGGCAATTGAACAACAACCTTGTATACCCTTCCAAGCCTTCACTCCGAAAGATGCTGCTCAAGGAGAGACAACAGGGCAGGAAGTAGATTAGGAAACACCTTCTTGCTGGTTCGACTTTGTCTTCGCTTAGCGCTACGCAAGCACAAGGTTATCAGCGCCCTCTAGAAAGCCCGAGGTGCAAGGTAGCAGGCCTTCGATTGTTTCTACCCGCACAGATTGCAAGCGCCGAACAAAAGGCTGGAGTGGTGGTGCTTGGTCCACCTGATCACCTGTGCGCCTTGGGAAGCAAATTACGTTATTGTGGGTCTGAGACTGGAGCAGCCCTGTTCGCCTGCAATCCTGTGCGTTCTGCGTATAGCGTTAGCTGGAGCACTGCTGGCTAATAAAATCCTCCCCGTAACAATTTTATAAGCGCTGCTACACCAGCCTGAATTGCGTAGAATCAATGCTCAACGTAGTGAAAGATTATTGAGAAAACGCGGGCTAGCGCTATGTAGTTGGTTCAGTGTGAAAGTGTCTATAGGTCGAACAACGCGCAAAAT